GCGTCATTTGAGTTATTGCTTCGAGTTGAACATTTCCTCCATTAAAGATTATGGATCCACGCTAAAATTTACGTCAATAACTTAATATATGAAGATATATATGCGACGCGGGTTCTTATAAACACTATCCGGACTATCAAGACGTTTCAAAGTAATTTCGTCTGTGTTGAACTATTTCTAAGTTTGAAATGATATTCCAGGGAAGGCGAGCCTGTTCATTAGCTTTCTGCTCAAGGAGAGCAATGAGGCCGAAATGAAAAGCCAAATCAGCTTGCTTTTCCGAAGGGATCATATTTGGTTTTGGGGGGGGGTTGTACGTTGGTCAGAAAGTGGCGGAGCTATTTGTGTAATCTCCCCTTAGATGGCGGCAAAACTACTATTTCTGATGAATGGTGGATACACTTCTCCCCGGTCGGTGATAAAATTCGGAAAAAAAATCAAGCAAGAACACAGTTGAGTCGTGAGGAGGAGGGGGTCCGTGAATTTGGTTTTGGGGGTTGTACGTGGTCGAGTCTCCGGGAAGAAAGTGGGCGCTATGTAACTCCCTTAGATGGCGGCAAAACTACTATTTCTGATGAATGGTGGATACACTTCTCCCCGGTCGGTGATAAAATTCGGCGGAAAAAAATCAGATCAAAATCTTGGAAGGGTTGTACTGACAATGTCATTCCACGCTTGCCTATGCTGCACCCTGAGCCAAATGAAGTGATATTAACACCTCCCTTTGTGGCTCCAACAAGATCAGGGCACATAGTCGTTGAGGAATCCCCAGCAGGGGGGGGAGGGTCGTATTCGGCCGCTAGGATAGGGGGGTCGATTTTGGCTGGGGAAAATACATTCTTCTCGCTTCACAGACGTTGGAACAGGGGGAGGTCATACTTGGTCATTATTGGGAGGGGGAGGGGGTCGTACTTGGTCATTGTTGGGAGGGGGGGGGTCGTACCAACCCCCAAAAAAAGGGGGGGGGGGTCGTACAGACTCGACTAAAATCCCCAACCAATGATGTGCCCTGAGCAAAATATTAGATGACAATGGAAGATTAAGTTGTAACATGGAAGAACGGTGACGAAACTAGGATATAGTCAGTCCAGGACGATGTCTGTGCTTCTTTTGTACCTCTTCTTAATCAACAGAAGGGTAGGGAGAATTAGCTGTGGCTTTTCTGGGTTTTTGCTTGAACCTCAGTCGTGAGGTTCAGCAAAAACCCAGTAGTGAGCGTAATGAGCAGTTTTTGTGGCTTAATCGACTTGAACTATCATCGTCACTTCATTTGGTCTCATCACAGTGTAATACCCACCTCGCAATCGAGCGGAACTCATGCTCGACGAACGTTTGGAAAGCTCTTTATTCATTTATTCTCCTTGATTATTTATTATATCTTAAACGCATGCTCTTTACTGCCAGCTGCAAGAATGGCTCCCCGTAAATCAAGTAGCGATGCTAGTGAACGCCTAGAAAATGGGCGCTAGATTTGGGAATAGTACGCTGTTCTATAAGTCATTATTATTAATGATTAACATTTTTGCTTTGACAATCACTGCTAAGCTTTGCTGCTCAGCCCTAAGAGTTCTGTAAACGCAGGCTAGGAGAAGCCTAGGAAATCTTTCTTTGTTTTTTTTCAGTTGTTCGTTTTATTCCTCTAAATTCTGGTGCTGCTCTATCCCTGCCCTAGTAGGGAATAAAGAAATATGTGCATGAAACATATGAACAAAATGAATAGCTAAATTCATAACCTTTCTTAAACTTTTGTCAAGCATACGACACTCCACATTACGGATATAGACGATGGGGAGCGCAGCACCCTTACACAGCATGAGCTATGATTCGAACTACATTCGATATCCCGTAGATGTAGTGGGCGTGGCTGCGTTCATCATTTGAGCATAGCACAGGATTCCCTTACCATTGACTATTTCCGGTTGAGACGTGAAGTGTCATCCTATCTTTTAATGGGCAAAGACATGGAGACAAGACATTTGTCCCAAAGCGGCGATATTTAACCAAAAGTGCAACCGCCGCTACGTTTGAAGAAGGTCGCAGCCACGCCCAATCCATCTCTGGGATATCGAGCGACATCGTAGCTCATTCTGCGTGTGCTGCGGCACTGAGCTGAAAGTTTCTCTAGGTGTTAGTTTGATCTAGCGCTTTTCGATGCCAGTTCTCTTCTATCTTATTTACTCTTAGTTCTTATATTCTTACTAAATCCCTTGCTTCTATTCTGTTATCTTTTATTTTCTCTTGGTTTCTCAATTTACTACATTTCGGTTTCATTGCGCTACTTCTACACATTCCGGATCGCCGTTGTTCGAGGATCCACGCATAATTTCGCTACTTTTCAAACCGATAATCAGCGATTTCAATTTTTTTTCTTTCACTTTTCTATGAGACATGTGTATTCTGCTCCTGAAAAAAAAACGTGTTCTGATAATTTCGGAGCATGAATAAGGTGCCAAATAAGCCGTATCAAACGGCGCAGTGAAAAGTATGACACACCATGTGTGTCACGTGGTCCGGAACGTGTTGAGTTGCCCATCACAGTTCGTAACTTATTGAATTCTTTCACGTTACTACTGGATGCATAAGGCCGCATCAATACTTTCGTCATCATTTTGGGCCTTTCGAGCGACTAGGAATGTATAGGTGCGCTCAAAACACTGGCAAAGTCTATACTTTGCTAGGCGCCCAAAACGCCAAGAAACGCTGCCGCAGGCTCAGAACGCTGACGCAAAGTATGAACGCAGCCTAGTTATTACCCGGCTTACGTTTTCAATAGTGACTCCTACTTGTCTGTTCGATGTGCTTGTATCGGAAATCGGCTACATTTTCAGTTTACTATGTGGTCAGCGACTGAAGCCCTTGCAGGGCTCGTTCCAAA